GGTGCAAGTGGCACCTGGCAGCATTGGAACCAACCTAAAGAGGAAAGCAAGCCAACCTTCAGTGCAAGGAGAGAGCTTCAGGATGTCCATACCTGGGAGAGGGGTGTTGTTGCCCATGGCAACGCTGCTGCAGTTAAACCAGTAGCTGTTGTGAAAAAATGTGAATGTGTCACGGCTTGAGAGTTGGTCCAGCAGAGAGAAGCCTATGCTATGTGCAAGGAGAGGGGCTGACCAGAGGCCAGGACCAAGAGTGAAGGCCCATAGCAACACAGAGGAGGCCAGTTGGGCTGTCTGTGTACGGGGGGCTATGTCATACAAGGATCATGGCAAGTGGCATCAAGAGGAGCCCAATACAGCGTGTTGGAAAGAGCCAGCAAAGTTCTGCTTGGAGAGTGCAATCTCCCATGGCAACCGGAGAAAAAGTAGTGGCCTGGAAGGAGGAGCTGCATTGGAGATGTGGCTCAGTGTCCCAAAAAAGATACCAGTGGAAATGTACCATGCCTGGAATGTGGTCAGTGGGGGCAAAGGGATCTTTTCCTGTCCCAGACTCTGGAAATACCCGTTGATACTGGGCAAATGTCTACAACATCAAGCCCAGATTCTTGTTTTAAAATGTCGGCAACCACCCTCTGGCAACAGGGAGAGAAAGTTTCCTGTTGGGCCTGCAGGGGGTGCCAGAGAGTCCATGGAGCCTATGGGGGCATCTGTTACTTCACCTTGGGGCAAGGGAAAAGTTGCCAAGGAAAGTGCAGTTGAGGATGCGTTTATGAGAACGACGCACTCAAATGAAGATGGCGACACCTACTACTGTGGTGGGTAAGACTGGTGTGTGATAAAACCATGGCTGGGACTGTCATGTTGAGAAGGACTGGTTATGTGACTGTCCATTCTGACGTAGGAGTGACCCCAGTTAGTTGGGCCACTGAATGTGCTTTTTGAGAGTGATTTTTTTTTTATTTCCCTGTGCAGAGCCTTTGTACAGTAAGGAGATAGGGGTTGAAGTGAAACCTGTGCATGGTTTCTCAAAAGCAAGTGATGTCACTAATGTGTGCCAGAATTTTTTGGTACAGGTTGGTAGTGGGATAGAATTTTTTTTTAAACAGCCCACAAGAGCTACAAATGCTGATGATGTTGTTGATGATGGGAAATGTACTGCTGTTGTGGGAAAAACCCTGAGCTCTTGCAGTGAAAAAGCTGTAATTAAAGATGGGTTTGGTCATTTCCCATAAGCAACTGGTGGTAAGACAGCACAGGTGTTCCTTAGACATCTCCAGGGATCTCCGTGTATTGGAAGCCGGAGGTTGCCCTGGACAACCTGCGATGTCACTCTGGTGGAGCAGAGTGGAACTGCACCTTGTCATAGGAGTGTGGTTGGTGCAGTCTAACAATACTGAAAGTGTCAGGTGAACAGCGGGTTAATGCAGCCTGGCAAAAATGCAAATGTGTGTGTAATTCAGGAAGCACCACCAGAGCAAAGTGGTGGATGTGAGGTATATTGCAACCTGCAGTGGGAAACCAGGTGTTACCCAAGTCTGATTGTGATCCAGAGTGATTTGTGCAATGGATCTGCAACTAAGCCCGTCTATTCTTATGTGTCTCCTTGGGCAGAATGGATCGGTGCTGAGGAGCACTGGTGTGTGAACTGAGCACTTATACAATGGATTGGGATAGTTGGGGTAAAAGGCTAATCTCATTGCTAGATGAGGTTTTTATTATGCAAAAAAAATAAGGTGGGACACTGTGTCTGCTGTGCCAGCAGGAGGGTCTATAGAACGGCCTATAGATAAGGGGCGTGTATACAGCAGAGACTTTGTCAGTGACCCACAAAAGTGATGTTGGCATGGAGTGTCAAAATGATGTTATCACTGGGAATGATCAGGGGCAGCTTGTGGATGCTGAGTCATGAGACATTGAGAGTGAGCCCAGCACATGGCAGTGCTCCGGTGGAGCATCAGGCTGTGGTTATCTCCAGCTTGGAGGAGGTCCCTTTTAAAAATTTCAAACTTCTCAAGTCTCAGCAGGTGAGTCTCTCAGCGTTCCCAGTGCCCTAAATATGGTCAGGATGGTCTTAGGGTTTAGAGTCAAGTGGTTGGGGTTGTAACCAAAGTATTAATTAAGGAGATGCTTGGACTTTGGAATGTACAACCAATGTATACTGGGCTGTCTCCTCCAGTCAGATGGTTCTGGTACTGCGGAGTACCACTAGGTGGAGCACCGAATGGCTGGCTGTACATATCAAACTGGAACAAGAAAGTTGTTTGTTTCGGATTTGTTGATGGTGTTAAAGTTGTATCAGGGTATGCTGCTGGACTACCTGTAAATGTGATAGATGAGAAATGTTTTGGACAATTGGAAAAATGAGTCAAAAAAAGTTTCACCTCCCTAACAGCCAGGTGGGAAGCATTTCTGCTGCTATGGGTCCAGGATGGTGCTGGTCAGTTGTCAGTGAAGGGCGTGTTGACTGCACCAGTGGACAAACCACATGAGATGGAAGGGCCGAGCATGGACCAGAGAACAGCAGAGATCCTGACCAGGGCTCAAAACGGATGTGCATCAAGAAATCAGGGTCATTGGGGCCAAAAAAGAGGTTTATGTAGCAAGTCTGATGAGACATCTGGAATACAGGAACCAATGTTATGTGAAACTGGCAAAATGGATCAGAAGAGAGAGCTCATCTGTACAGGATTTGGATACAGATCCAAGTGGTGGTGTAGAAAAAGTTAAAATGGTGGGACAGCCACCTGCAGAGTGCATGACGCCAGGTGAAGTGGCACCGGGTGATGGCTGCCCTATGGGTGTGTGTGCCCTCTACAGACGCTGTCCTAACAAATGCTGGAAAAGATATTGAAAGGTGTAATATTGACTGGAATATAACTGTTCATGGTAAACTGAATGCTGTGGTGATGAGTCATGCAGGTTTGATAGCTAGAGGTACAAGAAATCAGGGGGGTGGTCCGGGTACAAATACAGTAGAAATAGTTCTCCTACAGCCTTGGGACGGTAATACTGAGAGAGGTATTAGGAAACCTGAGCACCTGAAGCAAAGGGGCAGAAAGGTCGATAGAAAGGCCAGGGGGACCCCGTTAATATCTCAGGAGAGAAAGTGTTTATGGAAATGCACCCCGGAAAAAGAATAGGGAAGGTCTGAGTGAGAGCCCATAGCAGAGTGACAATGGGGCTTGGGGAGAGACACCAAAGGAGTCATTGGGTAGAGTTCCCCTTTAGGAAAAGGTATGGTCAGACCAGATTGGACCCCTGTAAGTGAAAGCTGGCACAGAGCTGCCAGAAAGCTGTAAGTCTGTGTGTTTCTGCCCCCCTACGGGATCAAAACAAAGGGGGGGGATATGTGACAGTGTGGCGATCTGTCACCCAGGATTCTCAACAAGGCAGGGTTGAGGGGCTCCAGGGTAAAGGTTTGATACGGAGGAAAGTGGCTTTTCACTTTCCTCCTTTGTTTGTAGGAGGTCTGTTTTGGGATCTGGAGCCTGGCGATTTCAAAGAGATCTGGGAGGGATGAAATCTCCAATCCTGGGACCAAAGGTTTTGGGAATGGCCAGGAGACTGATTGCCACAGGTGTGTGCAGGCCTTTAGATGGAGTCAGGACCAGAGTTCTGGGCTCCACCTTGGCAGATAGGAGTCAGGAGGGGCTCCACTTGGAAGACAGGAGGTCACTGCCTGGAAGTCAGGTGGGCTTCACCTAGGAGAGGTGGGAAGCCAAAAAGCAGCAAGGGGCTGCTAGAGGCCAGCGGTGTGCAAGTGCCATATTTTTGGGAAGAAGTCTGCAGGAGACAGACAGCAAGCTGAGTGTAAGCCAGGGAGCTGAACCGTTGTTTTTGTGGATGATCGATACCCCTGTGTGGGAAAACTTCAGTTTTGAACTTTCATTTAAATAAAAGTGGGCTAAAAAAGGCCTTAAGCAAGTGAGTTGCTGTGTGCGTTTAAAAGCTCTACCACTTTGAAGCGAGTTCCCACATTACATATAGTATGATGAGTGTGATCTATACATATAGTATGATGATGAGTGTGATCTTACATATAGTATGATGAGTGTGATCTTACATATAGTATGATGATGAGTGTGATCTTACATATAGTATGATGATGAGTGTGATCTTACATATAGTATGATGAATGTGATCTTACATATAGTATGATGAGTGTGATCTTACATATAGTATGAGAGTGTGATCTTACATATAGTATGATGAGTGTGATCTTACATATAGTATGATGAGTGTGATCTTACATATAGTATGATGATGGAGTGTGATCTTACATATAGTATGATGAATGTGATCTTACATATAGTATGATGAGTGTGATCTTACATATAGTATGATGGATGAGTGTGATCTTTACATATAGTATGATGAGTGTGATCTTACATATAGTATGATGAGTGTGATCTTACATATAGTATGATGAATGTGATCTTACATATAGTATGATGAGTGTGATCTTACATATAGTATGATGAGTGTGATCTTACATATAGTATGATGAGTGTGATCTTACATATAGTATGATGAGTGTGATCTTACATATAGTATGATGAGTGTGATCTTACATATAGTATGATGAGTGTGATCTTACATATAGTATGATGAGTGTGATCTTACATATAGTATGATGAGTGTGATCTTACATATAGTATGATGAGTGTGATCTTACATATAGTATGATGATGAATGTGATCTTACATATAGTATGATGATGAGTGTGATCTTACATATAGTATGATGAGTGTGATCTTACATATAGTATGATGATGATGATGAGTGTGATCTTACATATAGTATGATGATGAGTGTGATCTTACATATAGTTAGTCTGGTTGAAAGAAGACCATCTTTTATAGTGGGCAGACAATACACTCATAAAATTATGATGATATAAACCCGGCCCAGAAGGCAGAACCTTCTTCTATGATTGGGATTATAACAAAGTGGAAGCAACTGGGAACAACAGCAACTCAGCCACCAATGGTAGGCCAGGTCACATGACAGGGCGGGGTCAGCACATGCTGAAGCGTACAGTGCGCAGAAGTCGCCAATGTCTACCTGTGGATTGGACACCCCTGATGTAGTGCAAGGGCCTTCCTGATTGGATACAGAGTAAATGGATAGATAGGTGGGCCCTCCTATTCCATAGTTCTGATAAAACCTAAAGGAGTTTGTACAATCAGATTGCATAGTGTATGGCCAGCTTTATATAAGCACATAAGAGGGAGTGGATGAAGACACTCAGCTGTCAGGCACTGTTCACATTTTTGTGTAGCAGGAACGCACATGCTCGTATTTTGGAGCATTTTCGCTCGTCACACATAGGGTAGCCCATTCAATTGCATGGACTGCCTTACACATAAAGAAGCTCCAGAACTTTTTTTTTTTTTTTTTTTTAAGAGTGCAGCGTGGTGCATTTTTTTTACTGTGCTGCGTGTTTATGAAACGCAAAGTGCGCATTATCTGAGCATGTGCGGTGGGCTTAACATGCTGGTGTCGGGGACACAGGGCGGCTTGTGCACCCGACTGCAGTAAGGACACCTCTGCATTCTAGGACACGTATCACACGTAGTAAGTAAAAAGATAACGGAATAAATTTTGGCCAAGATTTATGATGAAATATTATTTATTTGCAAAATTTTATAGAAAACTTTTTTTCAAACTTTTTTGGACTTTTTCATCTACATAGCAAAAAAAAATAAAAATCCCAGCAGTGAATAAATACCACCAAAATTAAAGCTTTATCTGCCTCAATAAAAAATTCATATGGGTACAGTGTTGCATGACCGTGCAATTGTCATTCAAAGTGTGATAGCGCTGAAAGCTGAAAATTGCCTGGACAGGAAGGGGGTGAAAGTGTCTGAAAGTGGTTAATGGTGGATGTAACTGAAAAACACACGTATGGTCTGAGGCAAAAAACATTGTAAACCATAACGTGTCATATTTATGTGATAATCAAGTGACACCTCCTCCTTACATGTTCTAGATCATGGAGATTGCTCTGTCTACCTGTATCGAAGAATTAAGATCCTCAAAAAAAGCTGAGGAACCTCTACTGCTTCCATGGGTCCATATTGGATATAATGCATTTCAACACAGGCTGCAGAACTTGAACAGGATTTTGATGGTCAATCCCTCTGTGCTGGTCCCCCTCCTTCAAAAGACTGATGGTCCAAAGGCAATACCAAAGAGTGAGATGGTGAGGACATTGTCATATGAAGCTCCTGGTATAGGCTAGGAGCGGGTCAGTCTGGTTGTTCCTGTTCCACCTATCGGGGCCATTTATTAACACTGCACAGCAGAACATGGCATTTTTATTGAATGGGGGCATTTTTTCCGGTGACAACTGACTCCTTTCTCTTTGGAGAGATTTGCTCACATCCTGTTAGCTCACAGGAATGAAGTAAAGGGAAATGCACCCCCCCCCCCCCCCCCCCCCCCCCAGGGATATGGATGGCAAAAAAGCTGATCTAACCTTTCCCTGTTCCATCCACAGCCAAATAGTTTTAACTTTAGATACATGAATATGGAAGGTGCCATTGCGATCTTCCATTTAAAGCTGTGATCTCTGGTGCTGGCATTATTACCCTTGTTTTATATGATATTCACTGACCCCAAACCATTATGCAGCTAGTGTATATATCAGCCTATATATGTGCACGTGCTTGTTCCCCATCAGTGACTTACCAATTGGTGAAGCCAGAATCGAGTTGGCAGCTCTGAATCTTTTCAGTACTCAGTAACTCAGCATCAGCAGATCCCTATTTGTGTTTTCACAGCTCCCCTTAACTTTCCAACATACCTTAAATTCAAGTTCCTGTTTTTTTTCTTTTTTTTTTCTTTTTCTGCCTCTAGCCTAGACAAACTTTATACATTACAAGAATTGCAGCAAACATTTTTTTGCAGAGTCTTACCTTTCTATATTCTGAACAGTTAGAATTTTCTTGCCATGTCCTCTACCAGACTGAATGTTTAGGGTCTGCCTGATCATGACTGCTGCTGCTGAGTGGAGCATTGTGTGACGGTGGCATAGCATGGGATGGCAGCACCCAGGCAAGTATTGTACCCCCTAACCTGTGGACCATTAGCACTCCCAGCACAACTATTGGTGTCATACACTTCACAGAGATGTGACAAGTATGGGAGGAGGCAGGGGCGGACTGACAACTCATGGGGCCCCCAGGCAATAGGGGAACATGGGGCCCCTGTGTCCTTGCCCAAACTCAAAAAAGCCTATGAAAAAGGTACCAGGGGTATCTCATGGGGCCCCCTACTGACCCTGGGCCCTCGGACAGTGCCCGAGTTTCCAAATGGTCAGTCCGCCCCTGGGAGGAGGAATGGTACTATCTACAGGTGAAACTGGGAAAAATGAGAATATTCCATGCAATCAATAAAACACGGATTGTACATAGAACAATATCGGACCTCTGAAAAGTAGAAGCAGCTGAAATAGAAGCTGCATATGTACTCAGTACTTGGTTTGGGCCCCTTTTGCAGCAATTACTGCCTCAATGCGGCGTGGCATGGAATCTATCAGCCTGTGGCACTGCTGAGGTGTTATGGATGACCAGGATGCTTCAATAGCGGCCTTCAGCTCTTCTGCATTGTTGGGTCTCAAGTCTCTCATCTTTCTCTTGGCAATGCCCCATAGATTCTCTATAGAGTTCAGGTCAGGCGAGTTTGCTGGCCAATCAAGCACAGTAATCCCACGGTCATTGAACCAGGTTTTGGTACTTTTGGTAGTGTGGGCGGTGCCAAGTCCCGCTGGAAAATGAAGTCAGCATCCCCATAAAGCTGGTCCGCGGAAGGAAGCATGAAGTGCTCCAAAATCTCCTGGTAGACGTCTGTGTTGACCCTGGACTTAATGAAGCACAGTGGGCCAACACCAGCAGATGACATGGCTCCCCAAATCAACACAGACTGTGGAAACTTCACACTGGACTTCAAGCATCTTGCAGTGTGTGCCTCTCCATTCTTCCTCCATACTCGGGGGTCCTTGTGCCTCTCCATTCTTCCTCCATACTCGGGGGTCCTTGGGCCTCTCCATTCTTCCTCCATACTCGGGGTCCTTGTCCTTGGCCTCTCCATTCTTTCCTCCATACTTGGGTCCTTGTGCCTCTCCATTCTTCCTCCATACTTGGGTCCTTGTGCCTCTCCATTCTCCTCCTCCGTACTCGGGGTCCTTGGGCCTCTCCATTCTTCCTCCGTACTACTCGGGGTCCTTGGGCCTCTCCATTCTTCCTCCGTACTCGGGGTCCTTGGGCCTCTCCATTCTTTTCTCCATACTCGGGGTCCTTGGGCCTCTCCATTCTTCCTCCATACTCGGGGTCCTTGGGCCTCTCCATTCTTCCTCCATACTCGGGGTCCTTGGGCCTCTCCATTCTTCCTCCATACTCGGGGTCCTTGGGCCTCTCCATTCTTCCTCCATACTCGGGGTCCTTGGGCCTCTCCATTCTTCCTCCATACTCGGGGTCCTTGGGCCTCTCCATTCTTCCTCCATACTCGGGGTCCTTGGGCCTCTCCATTCTTCCTCCATACTCGGGGTCCTTGGTTTCCAAATGACATGCAAAAGTTGCTCTCATAAGAAAAGAGGACTTTGGACCACTGAGCAGCAGACCAGGTCTGTTTTTCTTTAGCCCAGGTAAGATGCTTCTGACGTTGTTTGTTGTTCAGGAGAGGCTTGACAAGAGGAATACGACATTTCAAGCCCATGTCCAGGATCTGTCAGTGTGTTGTGGCTCTTGATGCACTGACTCCAGCCTCAGTCCATTCCTTGTGAAAGTCCCCAACATTTTTGAATGGCCTTTTCCTGACAATCCTCTCCAGGCTGCGGTCATCCCTGCTGCTTGTGCACCTTTTTCTTCCACACTTTTCCCTTCCACATAACTTTCTATTAATGTGCTTTGATACAGCACTTTGGGAACATCCAACTTCTCCTGCAATTACCTTTTGAGGCTTTCCCTCCTTATGGAGGGTGTCAGTGATGGTGTCAGGTCAGCAGTCTTTCCCATGATTTGGATTCCTACTGAACCAGACTGAGAGACCATTTAAAGGCTCAGGAACCCTTTGCAGGTGTTATGGCTGAATGAGCTGATTAGAGTGGGACACTTTGAGCCGAGAATATTCCACCTTTTCACAATATTCTCATTTTCTGAGATTGTGGATTTGGGGCTTTCATGAGCTGTAAGCCATAATCATCACAATGATGACAAATCACGGCTTGAACTATCTTGCTTTGCATGGAATGAGTCTCATATATTAGTTTCACCTTTTAAGTTGCTGCACTGAAATAAATCAACTTTTGCACCATATTCTCATTTTTCGAGTTTCACCTGTAGGCACCCATTGCAATTTAGTGGGCATATCATTTTTATATTATTTTTTTATGTAGTTGGAACATTACGTTATCAATATTTTCAAACAGGCAATCATGATATTAATAGGCATTATATAATTTATCAATAAGAATTACATGAGGACAGTATGGCTGTTATCAGCAAGAAAAATAGTGTCAAAGGTTATGTGGCAATGTTTATTTGCCCCATCATGCTGAAAAAAATGTGTAGAATGTTGGAATAGTGGTGAATTTTGTGTGAGGGAGAAGGTGCACTTTTTTTTCATTATGACCACTTTGTTACTTTTTTCTTTTGAAATGTTGCACCCCTAAGAATTTTTTTCACCCAGGCCAACTTCCCCTGTGGCCCCAACCCATCTTCCCAATTCTACACTACTGCTGTGTATGTTGGCTTTTGCAGTTCTCACCCGCACCCACCAATCATTTTTTTAACAGGCCATATTCTTTACTTTGTTATTCAGCCTGAAAAGTGAAGCACAAGGCTTATTTTGGGCTTTAAATATTTTTAGCTGATGTAGCAAATTCCATTATCTCATAATTTTGTTCTTTTTCCAGGTTGTGGACATCTATGCTGCCATTGCTTGTCTAGAACAATTGAAGCACACAGTTCTGAGCTCAGACCCTCAAGAATGGATGAGACAAGTAAAAAACATACAAGTGCCCATTGAACTGACCTGTTCAGAAGCCTATATACAGGGAAAGGGTTCTGCAGCACGCAAAGTAGGAATCAAACAAATCAGGTACCCTCACTGTCACGAACGCAGTGTCAGACCCCAGCCCTTCTCACCAAACTCGTGACCAAAGGACTAGCCAGTCTAAAACCGCCCTGTCACGTGCGTAACAATGCCACACCCAGCTGCACCCTGCACAACGATTTTCCAGTTAACGGACCACAATCGATGTACCGGCAGCCTGGGCGATTGTTTACTGGGTCAGGTTAATTACG